ATCTACGTAACTTTGGGGCACCGGTACCTCATCATCGTTCATTGACCATGGCTAGACGAAATGTGAGTGACTATGAAAAAGCAGTTAGCAGAATTAAGGAGGAGAACAACAGAATGCTGATGCGGAGATGTCGACATTTCATGCTTCAGCTAGCTACCGAAATGGCAGAAGCAAGCAACAGAGATTTGACAGTGATTGAGCGAAATAATGTCTTAAACAATGAAAAATATCTCTCTGACTACTACATGTCAGATGAGGAATGAGAAATCAAACACCTTTGTCTTTTGTATATGTTTGTATGTTGTCTCATATCTTCGTTACTAGAGTGTAAGACAATGTTGTTGTTCATCTAACGTACGGATGTATTTCAAGTATTTGTTTTATGAACCTGAAGTTTATGAAATAACTACATTTATAACTGCACATTTATTAGTTCATGACTTTCTTTATTGAATTGCAATAAGTTAATGAATGTTTTGGATTAATGAATGGATTAATGTATGTTGAATTATGTGAATACTTAAAACACATAAAACAGAACAGGTAGCTCGGTGAAAAGCTTCCCTTAACTGGGGCTCGTGAAATAGGGATCCTGTACGTAAAAAATGTCAATCTCCATCAGGAAAGAAGAAAGAGTCGCCTTCTAATTCCTAGAAGTCTAGTCAAAATGATGACTCGGGTAAGGAATGAGGGGTTGACAGATAACTAAACTTGGGGGGCTGGACAAACAAGCCCAAAGCCAAGTGATTGGTCCAGTTGGGGGACTAATAAAGTTCATACAAACGAACTACCGCCTTCAACAACACATAAAACAAAACAGGTAGCTCGATGAAAAGCTTCCCTTAAGTGGGGCTCATGAAATAGGGATCCTGTACGTAAGGAATTTCAATCTCCATCAGAAAAGAAAAAAGAGTCGCCTTCCAATTCCTGGAAGTCCAGTCAAAATGATGACTCTGGTAAGGAATGAGGGGTTGACAGATAACTAAACTTGGGGGGCTGGACAAACAAGCTCAAAGCCAAGTGGTTGGTCCAGTTGGGGGACTAATAAAGTTCATACGAACGAACTACCGTCTTCAACAACACATAAAACAAAACAGGTAGCTCAGTGAAAAGCTTCCCTTAACTGAGGCTCGTGAAATAGGGATCCTGTACGTAAAGAATGTCAATCTCTATTAGAAAAGAAGAAAGAGTCGCCTTCCAATTCCTGGAAGTCCAGTCAAAATGATGACACTGGTAAGGAATGGGGGGTTGACAGATAACTAAACTTAGGGGGTTGGACAAACAAGCTAAAAGCCAAGTGGTTGGTTCAGTTGGGGGACTAATAAGTTCATACAAACGAACTATCGCCTTCAACAACACATAAAACAAAACAGGTAGCTTGGTGAAAAGCTTCCCTTAACTGGGGCTCGTGAAATAGGGATCCTGTACGTAAAGAATTTCAATCTCCATCAGAAAAGAAGAAAGAGTTGCCTTCAAATTCCTGAAAGTCCAGTCAAAATGATGACTTTGGTAAGGAATGGGGGGTTGACAGATAGCTAAACTTGGGGGGCTAGACAAACAAGCTCAAAGCCAAGTGGTTGGTCCAGGTTGGGAACTAAATTTAAAACCCAATTGGTTTTACTTGATTTGCTTGTCAAAATCACTATTTACAATTAATTATACACAAACAGATTGTTTTCTGCGCCTTTTTCAAGAAATTGACGATTCTTTTAGTATAGAATAGCAATCAACACAAGGCCAAAAATGTAAGAAACTTGACTTGTACCCAAATGACAACAAATAATTCAAATAGTCATACTTTTCAATGAAATACACGAACGTTTGGTCGTAACAACAAATGATGCATAGCTAAGTGAAACACAACATTGCCTATATAAGCTTCATTTTTTATTGCAGTCTCAATTCAGAAAGTCACATGGCAACAGTGAATTCACTGATTTACCTTACAGCGAGCATGCCATTATTTTGTCCGTATATGCAGATGGATTGTCAAGTCATGTGACTTGGTGCACATGCTTTGGTTTCCTTGATTTTTTCCTCGATTTTATAGCACATAGTGACAACTCATTTCTTATTAATATATGTGGGATTCTCAATTCAAAAAGTCACATGGCAACAGTGAATTCACTGATTTACCTTGCAGTGAGCATGCCCTTATTTTCTCGGTATATGCAGATGGATTGTCAAGTCATGTGACTTGGTGCATAGGCCTGGGTTTTCTCGATTTTTTGCTCGATTTTTTTATTACAGTGACAACTCAACACCAATTTGATATATGTGAGATTCTCAATTCATAAAGTCACATGGCAACAATGAATTCACTGATTTACCTTACAGTGAGCATGCCCTTATTTTCTCGGTATATGCAGATGGATTGTCAAGTCATGTGACTTGGTGCACAGGCTTTGGTTTTCTCGATTTTTTGCTCGATTTTTTTATTACAGTGACAACTCATCTCTTATTGATATATGTGGGATTCTCAATTCATAAAGTCACATGACAACAGTGAATTCATTGATTTACCTTACAGTGAGCATGCCCTTATTGTCTCGGTATATGCAGATGGATTGTCAAGCTATGTGACTTGGTGCACAGGCTTTGGTTTTATCGATTTTTTGCTCGATTTTTTTATTACAGTGATTCTCAATTCAGAAAGTCACATGCCAACAGTGAATTAACTTATTTACCTTATAGTGAGCATGCCCTTACTTTGTCGGTATATGCAGATGGATTGTTAAGTCATGTGACTTTGGTACACAGTATTTGCTTTTCTTTGTTTTTTCATTCAAGTGACAACTCATACCTTGTTCGTATATGTGGGATTATCATGCAGGGACATCTTTCTAAAGCTGTTCATAACCAACTATATAAACGACTAAAGGTGAAGACACAACCTTACAACCCATTTCGTCCTACGAAATTATCATTCATTTGTTTTAAAAAATTAGCATGGCTACATGGTTCATGGGAGGGAGTGGGAATCGCAGAGGTGGTAGGAACTTGCAAAGGGGTGGCAGTTCACGACGAGGAGGGGGAAGGGGACGTGGCGATGCTGAAGACGATTCATGGGAGGGAGTGGGAATACCTATTTTAGATTATGCTTGTGGTTATCGTGATAGGTTTGGGAAGTGACATTTTTTGATGCCCAAGTATTATCCAATTCAAGGAGGTTCATGTATGGATCCATCAGATAATCAAACAGGATATGGTTTAGCAGACGCTAGGCTTCTAAAGTGGCCCGCACTGTTTATAGAGCGAGTGCAAATGGAAAGATTATGTCGGGAAAATCGACTGAAGGTGCCAAAAACACGTTCTGTTGAGATCCAAAAAGAAGATCCTGATAATGTTGATTGACTATGTGAAAGACTACAACGTGAAATTTCTCAAATGCGTCGTAGGTTAGCCCACGATATGCAGCTATACATAGTTAAGAAGGATGCCCAGAAGAACAGAACAAAACCAAATGTTGCGGCTATCAAGGGTATCATGGAGGATCCTGAGCTTGTCTCTGACGCTGAGCTGTCGGATTATTCAGACTCTGAGCCACCTACCGATTTAAGCGCGAATTAGGTGTTAATGTCTACACTTCGGCAATATTAGGTTATGCATTAATATGTAATGTCTGTGTTAGACTAAGTGTTTCCGTAATGAGTTTGTCAGATTGTCTGGCTAATATTTGTCTGTCTAACTGTTATGTTTATGTATGTATTGTGTGTTCAGTTCATGGTGTCCAGAATGTATTGTTGTCGGAGACTTATGTCTGTACTACCTATGTATTTTTGTGGGAGACTTATGTGTTTTTTCCTCAAGGTTTTCTGAATTACATTATCACCTTCTAACCCAAAACAAAGACAACAGAAAAAAAAATTATTTAAATGAAAACGGCTTTAGTAAAGCCAAAACAAATTTTTGCATAACACCTTTTAACCCAAAACAAAGACAAGAGAAAAAAATAAAAAATAAAAAACTTTACATGAAAACAGCTTTAGTAAAGCGAAAAAAAATTTCTGAATTACATTATCACCTTTTAACCCAAAACAAAGACAAAAGAAAAAATATATATATTTAAATGAAAACGGCTTTATTAAAGCCCAAACAAATTACTGAATAACACCTTCTAACCCAAAACAAAGAGAAAATAAAATATAAAAAAAATTTACATCAAAACGGCTTTACTAAAGCTCAAAAAATTTATGAATTACATTATCACCTTCTAACCCAAAACAAACACAAGAAAAAATAAAATAAATTTACTTTAGTAAAGCCAAAAAAAAAATTTAAATTACACCTTCTAACCCAAAATAAAGACAAAAGAAAAGAAAAAAAAATTAACATGAGAACGGTTTTAGTAAAACAATTTTAACCCAAAAAATTATTCTAAAATACATTATCACCAAAACAATGACAACAGAAACAAAAAAAAAAACAAAAAAAAAAAAATTTCTTCTTCAGAGTTCAGTTAAACTGAAACTAAATAATTGGTGTATTTATGTAAAAAACGTGATTCACAAACACGCTTTCAGAAGAAAATTTTTTTTGCCAAAAAGCGTAGCTCATAACCACGTTTTCAGAAGAAAAAAATTTAAGCTAAAAACGTGGTTCATAACTACGATTTCAGAAGAAATATTTTTTTGGTTAAAAGCGTGGTTCATAACCGCGCTTTCAGAAGAAAAAAAAATTAAGTTAAAAGCGTGGTTCAGAACAGTAATTTCAGGAAAAAAAATTTAACTAAAAGCGCCTTTTGTAACCGCGCTTTATTAATTAAAAGCGCATTTTGTAATCACGTTTTTAAGACTTCTCAATTTTCATTCACGCGGGACAGGCACATAGACGTTGAAAGCGTGATTGTGAATCACGTTTTAACCTATTTTGAGAATTCTTTCAAAACTATGCTTAGTTTGGGAATTGAATTGATAATTTGACTTATTTAGGCAAAATGGCCCTCTTCTTCGACCATGCCCTAATTCTCCTTTCTCTACTAAATCGTCGATCTTCTTCGACGAATCGCAATCATCGGAGCCCCTCCCCCACCGTGATCGTCATGGTGTCTTCGTCAGAGAGTTCGAGTGATGAGACTACGTCCCATGAGGACTTCTATACCCTTACGAAGGACTCTCTACCTCAAATCGACGTCGTCAACGGCGTCGAGACTCTGATCGTCGATGGTGGTTGTATAGAGGCAGAAAGAGCCGTTGATTTGGGTAAGGACTTGGATAATCTATGGTTTGAGGACAACGGTGGTGTTGAATTAGGGAAATTTAGAGTTTTTTCAATCGTTAAGTCATAATGAATTGCAATTCATAATGCATGACCTCATCAATGATTTGGCTCGTGCAATTGCAGAGGACATCTATTTTTGGTTGAAGAATAATTTAAAGGATGACAAGCAGAAGAAAATTTCAAATAAAGCTCGACATTCATCTTGTGTTGCTAGCAAATATGACGGAATCAAAAAGTTCAAAATTTTCGATGATGCCAGATGCTTACGAACCTTCTTAGAGTTATCACCGTGTAGGAGGAACTACATAATAAGGTACTTGCTTCATGATTTGTTGCCAATGTTAAAGTGCTTACGTGAGTTGCGTTTGTGTAGTTCTGGGATAGATGAACTAGCAAATTCCATTGAAGATCTAAGGCATCTACGTTACCGCAATGTAACCCATTCTCAGATTAGAAAGCTGCCTAAGTCGGTGGCAACTCTTTACAATTTACAAGTCTTGTTCTTGAAATTTTGTGAAAAACTTGAAAAGTTACCTATAGACATGGGAAACCTGGTGAACCTACGCCGTTTTGATATGACTAGTGCGAATATTCTATCATTAGAAAAGATGCTGCTACAGATACGTAAATTAATAAAGCTACAAATGCTGTCAAATTTCATCGTGGGTAAATGTACTGGGTATAGAATAAGAGAGTTGGTAAAATTATCACACATTTGTAGGGTAACACACATATCAAAATTGGAGAATGCAAGTTTTGCTAAGGATGTAAGGGATGCAAATTTAATATCTAAGAAGAGAAGTTAAAAGAGTTATCACTAGAATAGAATGACTCTCATAATCCACAGAATGACAAGATTGAGAGTGATATACTTAACATGATAAGGCCTCACAATTTGTTGGACCGACTTACCATCCATAGGTATGGCAATTCAAGATTATCTAATTGGGTGGAGATACAATATCATTGTAGAAAAAAAATAAAATTGAACAAATTGAATATGTTCAAAATATTTATGTTGAATAAAATAAATACGTTCATACTTGATATGCTGAACAATTTCAATTCGTTTAAACTTATTATGTTGAACATATATTAAATTTTATATGTTATTATTATTATTATTGTAAATATTGAATAAATCTACTTTAAAAAAGAAAAGAAATTATACCGTAAATAAATTAAATTTAAGAAATGAAATTCTTAAGGAATTAAAATGTTCAATTTTTTATGTAAGAACATTTGTAATTTGGTCAACTTTAATAATTTGAGCAAAACTGTTTTGTTCGAATAAAAATAATCAAACATTATAAAAGTTCAACTATGATTATCCGAACACGTGACGAACAAAGTCATATTCATGACGATTATACAAATGAGATAAACAAAAAATCAAAAACCTAAGTATTAAATTGACATTTTTATTGTTGCATTGTTCGAAATCAACAATCTCAGTGTCATCCATGGTGTGTAAATCTTCAAAACTAATTGATTTCAATATTTTTAAACCCTAAATCTTCAAAACCAATTGATTTCCATGTTCTTAAACCCTAAAACCAATTGATTTCAATATTCTTAAACACTAAATCTTCCAAACCAATTGATTTTAATGTACTTAAACCTTAAAACCAATTGATTTCAATATTCTTAAACACTAAGGGCTTGTTTGGTCTGATTTTGGGAGAGTTGTTTTTAAAAAAAAATTTCAAAATTTTGTTTGGTTTGTGGTTTTTCTCAAAAAAATTTCAAAATCACTCTCTCTCTTACACATAATCAATCATTCTCTCTCTCATCTCTCCTTTTCAATCACTTTTTTTCTATCACACACATCTACTCAATTACAACAAACTAGCAAATCATCCCAAACTTTCAAACTCCAAAACTACTTTCAAAATATACAACTAAACAAACTAAAAAAATTCCTAAATTCTCTCTCCAAATATTTTTTTGAAAATCACTCTCTAAAAAACAAACCAAACACACCCTAAGGCCTCGTTTGGGAACTTTCCCTTTTAGCCAAAAAATCAAAAAGTTACTAAATTAGCCAAAAAGCCAACAACCCAAACCAAAAAGTCAAATATTCTCCTTTCTCTCTACTTTTTGCACATCTTTTTGTAAAAAGCCAAAAAGTCATCCCAAACATACTAGTTTTTTTTAGCTCATATTTTAGCCAAATATCCAAAAAGTTACTAAATTAGCTTGTTCCCAAACGAGGCCTAAATCTTCAAAACCAATTTATTTTGGATGTTTATATGTTTATATGTGATGATGGTGCGTGAAGAGTATTTTGTGGTTTTATATATAAAATATTTGAATGGGTAGACTACACCCCCCTATGTTGTTTTTAGTAGTGTGTAAAATTTTTTTTCCAATTTGAGAATATTACAATCATTTCAAATAACACACAAAAAGAAAGAAAGTAAAACTACTCTTCTAGCCTTCATTACCTTTACTAAAAGGAATTAGTGTTCAAGAACAGAGAAAACATCACAACGAAAATAACACTTAAATCCAATCTAAATTTAAAACCAGCATTTTTAAATCTTCTGGTCTATGTCGCAAGTCCATCTAACAACCTCTACACAGGAAAATTGTGAAAAATATGTTTCATGGTGCCATTGACACTTGATAATACAATTACATAGTGTGACAGTCAGAACAACACATCTCCATTGCGTTTGTAATTAGTATCACCACCTAAAGATCCAAGTTGGAAGTCCTTTTTCCAAGAATATGTTAGTAAACATTATGCTCACTCCCAATCGACAGAAATTGAACAACAATTTAAACAAACAATCAAACAAAGAAACCAAACAATTGTGCTTTTGATTTAAATGCCTCAAAAGAATGAGGACTTCTTTGGAACAAAATTACAATAGAAAAAGTAAACAAAATAAACAATAGGTAATTCCATAATGAAACCACCAAAGTTCATAAAGGTTACAAGTTACAGAGAAAACAACTCCTAAATTGAAAGAACTACTCTTAGATATAATCTAAGTTGTTGTGTTGTTGATGATCTCCTTTCTACCAAATCCTTGGCTCTTATATCTTCTTCCTCTTTTCTTGGCCCATGATTGCATGACTTATTCGAATCTATAACTGCAATTGCCAACTGCCATGGTAACTGCCTCCACACTTCTAAGTCTTCGAACTCTACCAAGCCTTCAAATCTTCCTGTCAAACCATCTCTCCTCCATGTTGCCACATGTCCCTTAACACTTTGAGCACCACATCGACAGGTAACGCCTTCCATCTCGTACATATTCCTTTTTGAAAACAACCCACTAAGTTCATAACTTAGCCTGACAACTGCTCTATCACTTGAATCATTCTATGCACGTGCTCAACCTTTTTATGTATAGCGATCCCGGTTTTCCCTTTCGTGCTTAACTGTAATCCAGATTCGGTTTCGTAAGAGTGCTGCTGTCTTATCCTCTTTCTATTCCTTTCTCTTTGTGTTCGAGCTTTAGGTTGTGTTGGGCAAGTTGGGAATAAGTTGGTTGTGTTTTAAAACGTAAAATCTTTGCCCAGTTTTTGGTCCCTCCGCTCGAGCAGAGCTTTTGACGCTCGAGCGGGACTCTGTTGTTGCTTGTCCGCTCGAGCGGGGGTTTTGGAGCTCGAGCGGGGAAATCACCCATCTAGTATTTCGTCTGCAGTGGTATACGCTCGAGCGGGAGTATGTGTCTGACGCTCGATCGGGGAGTTTGACGCTCGAGCAGGCATCATGTTTGTAAAAGTTCTGGGAGCGTGCATCTGCCGCTCGAGCGGGGGATTGGACGCTCAAGCGGGGATCTGTGAGTGACGCTCGAGCGGGGCGACTTTTATATAAAGCCGAGATCCGACTTTTTTGTTCACTTTTCAACATCCTTTCTCTCTCCTACTTTTCCAAAAAGGTATTTTGAGAGCTCCTCTCACTAAAACCCTAACTTCTCTCTTAGGATTGATCTAGTAGGAGTTGTTTTCTTACCTTGGGCCTTTACAAAAGTTGTGTTGATCGTCGAGGGCTATCTTTTAATCTGAAAATTTCGGGATTTGGAGCATTTTTGTTTCTTCGTCTCCTTTGTTGAGCCCCGTCATTCGAGGTAGGGATAACCTACTCCATCTTATGAGCTTTGTCTTTGAATCTTAGCATTTTGATATATTGGGGGGTTGTTGGGTAATTTTGAGAAAGTTTGGGCCTTTGTGTAATTTTACAAGAGTTGGGGTTTTAAATATATAAACCTATATACATGTTAGGCATTGAGAAATGAGATTAATGTTGGGACATTGATGGAAATGGAACCTTAGGGTTGTTTTGTGAATTATGGTAATTTTGTGGGTAGAATAAACAGGTTTACTAATTTGAGAGGTTGTAGAATTATCTATGCCTTTCATTTTACGATGGGAAGTTTGACCAAGATTAATCTAACTATGTCTTCGGAACAAGGGTGTATTAAATATTTCATCTTTAGTTTAGAGGAGGAGATGGGGGATGTACTCCGCGGTTTAGGGGAAGATGGGGGATGTACCTCTAAACCGGATAGGATTGGGAGGAGATGGGGGATGAACTCCGTAGACACAGCTCATATGCTTGTCTAGAGAAGTGAAGATACAGCTCATATGCTTATCTTTGTGAAGTGTAGATACAGCTCATATGCTTGTCTAGAGAAGTGAAGATACAGCTCATATGCTTATTCTAGTGAAGTGTAGATACAGCTCATATGCTTGTCTAGAGAAGTGAAGATACAGCTCATATGCTTATCTTTGTGAAGTGTAGATATAGCTCATATGCTTGTCTAGTGAAGTGTAGATACAGCTCATATGCTTGTCTAGTGAAGTGTGGATACAGCTAATATGCTTATCTATTGATGTGTAATATGCTTATCTATTGGAATGTTGATATAGCTCATATGCTTATCTGTTGTAGTAGTGATATAGCTTATACGCTTATCTATTGAAAAGTTTGTTTGATTGATGTAACACTAAAACGTATATCATCATCGTTTGTGAAGTATGGAGGTAGTTTATGTGTTATTGATACAACACCAAAATGTGTATCCACCGTAAATTTTGAAGGTGTTCTAGTGATGAACTATAATCTCATCAAAATGTTTTGGCCAGAGTACTGAGCCCTGTTTTTCAAACTCAAAGTTGAATAAGAATTGAAAAGTGAATTGTAACGTAGGCTTGGTTGTCATGGAATTGAAATAAGATGTAAATGGAGGTGTAAGTATCGACCATCTTTCAGTTGCTAATCTTTTAGGCATTGTTTATAGTTGGTTTAGTAGATCTCTATTGGGCTGTGGCTCACCCTATATGGGAACATCATTT